ATTAAATCACAGCGAAGTTTATATTTTTATATATATTCCTTGCTGACCAGACTTTTCCTGCCTAACTTTAGACTCAATTATTAGCTTAATCTGAAATGTATATTAAATGATGTTAGGTCTTTGAATAAGGTCTGTGATTCATGAGTGAATTTACAAACTGTTATTTTGCTTCTTATGCTGCTTTTGGAGAACTTTTGCTGGTTGACCTAACACCACCTTCACAATAGCTTCACTGTGGATGATGTCACTCTTTTCAACCAACATTCAGTGTTGTTTTTGACAACCAACTTAGATTAAGTCTTAGTTTTAGTCTTCAGGACGAAAACTATTAATAGTTTTAGTCGCATTTTTGTCATTACTTTATCTGATAGTTTTAGTCGGTTTTCGTCGTCAAAAACTCAGAAAGGTTTCAGTCTGTTTTTAATCAGTTTTATGTTGCATTTCATAAAACAGTTAACAGTTTTTATTAACAACCAGATTCTTTAGCAGACTGACAGCTCTTGCCTAGATACTAACATAGCTGGGTATAGAATACTGTGTTTCATCATTGCTGTTGGGGAGAAATCTTTGATTTATAGAATTCAAATAAACTTTTTTATGAATTAATGTCCTATTTTATACAAACGTGTCTCATAAAAGTTGTAAAATAGCAGATCTAGTTCAACACATCATATTGGTTAATATAGCAGACAGACAAGCTAACAAAATGTACAGTAGAAGAATGGTTTTATACATAAAAGGTTTCCACCCCAAAGCAAACACTTCGTGATCTACTATGAATTATGCATTACACACAGATCAGTAAAATCTTCATTACTCCAAAATAGCAAAGAAAAAAAACATTCTTCTTTCTACTTTGGCAATTTTGGCTTTATTTCTTCAATTTGTCCTTTGATTATGACTGCTCAGGGGTCAAAGTAGATTTAAATTCACAGGGTTTTGATATAAAAAATAAATCCAGAGATAACCTACATAATTGCCTTGTAATGCCATGGCAATCCAGACCTAAATTGAATCAATATATCAACTAAAATGTTGAAATATTTAACGGAAACAGAGAAAATGTTTTAATGACAATACAAGGAAACATTTACATCATATTTGAATAGATAGAAACAAGAACAATGAGAAAGAAATATATTAATCTATGATCTATGTTCCTTTTCATCTGGGTCTTTATCCAAAAATAAACAGAAAGCAATGAAATATTTGCTTGTTTATAATTTAGGGATTCCTTTTTGTAGAAATTAAAGAAGGTTTAGTATCACCTCCTGTGAGCTGGAAGAAATAAAATATTGATAGAAAATTGATTTTTTTACGCTTGGCAGAGGATGATCAGCCACATAATATTTATTAAGTAGCGAGAGCAGGAAGAGCCATACTGCTGAGAGCGAACCATCAGTGCG